CGTGGCTAGCATCACCACCACCATGGCTAGCATCACCACCACCACCATGGCTAGCATCACCACCACCATGGCTAGCATCACCACCACCATGGCTAGCATCACCACCACCATGGCTAGCATCACCACCACCACCATGGCTAGCATCACCACCACCATGGCTAGCATCACCACCACCGTGGCTAGCATCACCACCACCATGGCTAGCATCACCACCATGGCTAGCATCACCACCATGGCTAGCATCACCACCGTGGCTAGCATCACCACCACCATGGCTAGCATCACCACCGTGGCTAGCATCACCACCACCGTGGCTAGCATCACCACCACCATGGCTAGCATCACCACCGTGGCTAGCATCACCACCATGGCTAGCATCACCACCGTGGCTAGCATCACCACCGTGGCTAGCATCACCACCATGGCTAGCATCACCACCACCGTGGCTAGCACCACCACCATGGCTAGCATCACCACCACCGTGGCTAGCATCACCACCACCGTGGCTAGCATCACCACCACCGTGGCTAGCATCACAACCACCGTGGCTAGCATCACCACCGTGGCTAGCATCACCACCACCGTGGCTAGCACCACCACCATGGCTAGCATCACCACCGTGGCTAGCATCACCACCACCGTGGCTAGCACCACCACCATGGCTAGCATCACCACCGTGGCTAGCATCACCACCACCGTGGCTAGCATCACCACCACCGTGGCTAGCATCACCACCACCGTGGCTAGCATCACCACCACCGTGGCTAGCATCACCACCACCATGGCTAGCATAACCACCACCATGGCTAGCATCACCACCGTGGCTAGCATCACCACCACCGTGGCTAGCATCACCACCACCATGGCTAGCATCACCACCACCGTGGCTAGCATCACCACCACCGTGGCTAGCATCACCACCATGGCTAGCATCACCACCACCGTGGCTAGCATCACCACCACCATGGCTAGCATCACCACCGTGGCTAGCATCACCACCACCATGGCTAGCATCACCACCACCATGGCTAGCATCACCACCATGGCTAGCATCACCACCACCGTGGCTAGCATCACCCACCATGGCTAGCATCACCACCACCGTGGCTAGCATCACCACCACCATGGCTAGCATCACCACCATGGCTAGCACACCACCACCCTGGCTAGCATCACCACCACCGTGGCTAGCATCACCACCATGGCTAGCATCACCACCACCATGGCTAGCATCACCACCACCATGGCTAGCATCACCACCATGGCTAGCATCACCACCATGGCTAGCATCACCACCACCATGGCTAGCATCACCACCACCATGGATAGCATCACCACCGTGGCTAGCATCACCACCACCATGGCTAGCATCACCACCATGGCTAGCATCACCACCACCGTGGCTAGCATCACCACCACCATGGCTAGCATCACCACCGTGGCTAGCATCACCACCACCATGGCTAGCATCACCACCACCATGGCTAGCATCACCACCATGGCTAGCATCACCACCACCGTGGCTAGCATCACCACCACCACCATGGCTAGCATCACCACCACCATGGCTAGCATCACCACCACCACATGGCTAGCATCACCACCACCATGGCTAGCATCACCACCACCATGGCTAGCATCACCACCACCATGGCTAGCATCACCACCACCACCATGGCTAGCATCACCACCACCATGGCTAGCATCACCACCACCGTGGCTAGCATCACCACCACCATGGCTAGCATCACCACCATGGCTAGCATCACCACCATGGCTAGCATCACCACCGTGGCTAGCATCACCACCGTGGCTAGCATCACCACCATGGCTAGCATCACCACCATGGCTAGCATCACCACCCCACCATGGCTAGCATCACCACCACCGTGGCTAGCATCACCACCACCGTGGCTAGCATCACCACCACCGTGGCTAGCATCACCACCACCATGGCTAGCATCACCACCACCATGGCTAGCATCACCACCACCATGGCTAGCATCACCACCACCATGGCTAGCATCACCACCACCGTGGCTAGCATCACCACCATGGCTAGCATCACCACCACCATGGCTAGCATCACCACCACCGTGGCTAGCATCACCACCACCATGGCTAGCATCACCACCACCGTGGCTAGCATCACCACCACCGTGGCTAGCATCACCACCATGGCTAGCATCACCACCACCGTGGCTAGCATCACCACCACCATGGCTAGCATCACCACCACCATGGCTAGCATCACCACCACCGTGGCTAGCATCACCACCGTGACTAGCATCACCACCACCATGGCTAGCATCACCACCACCGTAGCTAGCATCACCACCACCATGGCTAGCATCACCACCACCGTGGCTAGCTTCACCACCGTGGCTAGCATCACCACCACTATGGCTAGCATCACCACCGTGGCTAGCATCACCACCACCGTGGCTAGCATCACCACCACCATGGCTAGCATCACCACCACCGTGGCTAGCATCACCACCATGGCTAGCATCACCACCACCATGGCTAGCATCACCACCACCGTGGCTAGCATCACCACCATGGCTAGCATCACCACCACCGTGGCTAGCATCACCACCATGGCTAGCATCACCACCATGGCTAGCATCACCACCACCGTGGCTAGCATCACCACCATGGCTAGCATCACCACCACCGTGGCTAGCATCACCACCATGGCTAGCATCACCACCACCGTGGCTAGCATCACCACCACCGTGGCTAGCATCACCACCATGGCTAGCATCACCATCACCATGGCTAGCATCACCACCGTGGCTAGCATCACCACCACCGTGGCTAGCATCACCACCATGGCTAGCATCACCACCATGGCTAGCATCATCACCATGGCTAGCATCACCACCACCATGGCTAGCATCACCACCACCATGGCTAGCATCACCACCATGGCTAGCATCACCATCACCATGGCTAGCATCACCACCACCGTGGCTAGCATCACACACCACCATGGCTAGCATCACCACCACCGTGGCTAGCATCACCATCACCACCGCCGTGGCTAGCATCACCATCACCACCACCGTGGCTAGCATCACCACCGCCGTGGCTAGCATCACCACCACCATGGCTAGCGTCACCACCACCATGGCTAGCATCACCACCACCGTGGCTAGCGTCACCACCACCGTGGCTAGCGTCACCACCACCATGGCTAGCGTCACTACCACCATGGCTAGCATCACCTCCACCGTGGCTAGCATCACCACCACCGTGGCTAGCATCACCACCACCGTGGCTAGCGTCACCACCACCATGGCTAGCATCACCACCACCGTGGCTAGCATCACCACCACCGTGGCTAGCGTCACCACCACCGTGGCTAGCATCACCACCACCATGGCTAGCATCACCACCACCGTGGCTAGCATCACCATCACCACCGCCGTGGCTAGCATCACCATCACCACCACCGTGGCTAGCATCACCACCGCCGTGGCTAGCATCACCACCACCATGGCTAGCGTCACCACCACCATGGCTAGCATCACCACCACCGTGGCTAGCGTCACCACCACCGTGGCTAGCGTCACCACCACAATGGCTAGCGTCACCACCACCATGGCTAGCATCACCACCACCGTGGCTAGCATCACCACCACCGTGGCTAGCATCACCACCACCGTGGCTAGCGTCACCACCACCGTGGCTAGCGTCACCACCACCATGGCTAGCATCACCACCACCGTGGCTAGCATCACCACCACCGTGGCTAGCGTCACCACCACCGTGGCTAGCGTCACCACCACCATGGCTAGCATCACCACCGCCGTGGCTAGCATCACCACCACCATGGCTAGCGTCACCACCACCATGGCTAGCATCACCACCACCGTGGCTAGCATCACCACCACCGTGGCTGGCGTCACCACCACCATGGCTAGCATCACCACCACCATGGCTAGCATCTCCACCACCATGGCTAGCATCACCACCACCGTGGCTAGCATCACCACCGTGGCTAGCATCACCACCACCATGGCTAGCATCTCCACCACCATGGCTAGCATCTCCACCGTGGCTAGCATCACCACCATGGCTAGCATCACCACCACCATGGCTAGCATCTCCACCACCATGGCTAGCATCACCACCACCGTGGCTAGCATCACCACCATGGCTAGCATCACCACCACCGTGGCTAGCATCACCACCATGGCTAGCATCACCACCATGGCTAGCATCACCACCGCCGTGGCTAGCATCACCACCATGGCTAGCATCACCACCACCATGGCTAGCATCACCACCGTGGATAGCATCACCGTTGAGCCAACCTGAACCCTTTCAACACCGACCACATTGTATCGTTTTGTAAACTCAGTTCGGCTTATAGGGATTGTTGTTGTTGGATTGAATGGAAGCATGACTGCTTCGTCCTTACACGCTACTTTTTTATTTTCTGGGTAGTTGCCACTAGATGGCAGCAGCAGACGTGGTCACCACTCGCTTGTACACACTTGTGTACGCGCTTGTGTACACGCTTGTGATTGTGATGATGGGGGAGATGTTTTAGATGGGAGATGATTGTGATTCTGATGGGAGATGTCTCAGATTGGAGGTGATTGTGATTCTGATGGGAGATGTCTCAGATGGGAGATGATTGTGATTCTGATGGGAGATGTCTCAGATTGGAGGTGATTGTGATTCTGATGGGAGATGTCTCAGATGGGAGATGATTGTGATTCTGACGGGAGATGTCTCAGATGGGAGATGATTGTGATTCTGATGGGAGATGTCTCAGATTGGAGGTGATTGTGATTCTGATGGGAGATGTCTCAGATGGGAGATGATTGTGATTCTGACGGGAGATGTCTCAGATGGGAGATGATTGTGATTCTGACGGGAGATGTCTCAGATGGGAGATGATTGTGATTCTGATGGGAGATGTCTCAGATTGGAGGTGATTGCGATTGTGACGGGCGTGGCGTGTGTGTGCTGTGTGCGGCTGGCAGTGACAGGCCAGGCCTACGAAACATGGTGCAGGAGATGGTGCTCATGGGCTACGAGCGCGAGCGCGTCGTGGCGGCGCTGCGCTCCAGCTTCAACAACCCCGACCGCGCCGTCGAGTACCTCCTCACGGTGCGCGACAGCAGCCGCTACGCACACAGCTACACCAGCTACACACAGCTACACACAGCTATACACAGAGCCACACAGCTACACAGCTACACACAGCTACACAGCTACACACAGCTACACACAGCTACACAGCTACACACAGCTACACAGCTACACACAGCTACACACAGCTACACACAGAGCCACACTGCTACACACAGAGCCACACTGCTACTCACAGAGCCACACAGCTACTCACAGAGCCACACTGCTACTCACAGAGCCACACTGCTACTCACAGAGCCACACTGCTACTCACAGAGCCACACAGCTACACACAGCCACACTGCTACTCACAGAGCCACACTGCTACACACAGAGCCACACTGCTACTCACAGAGCCACACTGCTACTCACAGAGCCACACTGCTACACACAGAGCCACACTACTACACACAGAGCCACACAGCTACACACAGAGCCACACTGCTACTCACAGAGCCACACTGCTACACACAGAGCCACACTGCTACACACAGAGCCACACAGCTACACACAGAGCCACACAGCTACACACAGCTACACTGCTACTCACAGAGCCACACCGCTACACACAGAGCCACACTGCTACTCACAGAGCCACACTGCTACTCACAGAGCCACTCTGCTACTCACAGAGCCACACTGCTACTCACAGAGCCACACTGACACCGCTACTCACAGAGCCACACAGCTACACACAGAGCCACACAGCTACTCACAGAGCCACACTGCTACTCACAGAGCCACACTGCTACTCACAGAGCCACACTGCTACTCACAGAGCCACACTGCTACTCACAGAGCCACACTGCTACTCACAGAGCCACTCTGCTACTCACAGAGCCACACTGCTACTCACAGAGCCACACTGACACCGCTACTCACAGAGCCACACAGCTACACACAGAGCCACACAGCTACTCACAGAGCCACACTGCTACTCACAGAGCCACACTGCTACTCACGAGCCACACTGCTACTCACAGAGCCCACTGCTACTCACAGAGCCACACTGCTACTCACAGAGCCACACTGCTACTCACAGAGCCACACTGCTACACACAGAGCCACACTGCTACTCACAGAGCCACACTGCTACTCACAGAGCCACACTGCTACACACAGAGCCACTCTGCTACACACAGAGCCACACTGCTACACACAGAGCCACACTGCTACTCACAGAGCCACACTGACACCGCTACTCACAGAGCCACACTGCTACTCACAGAGCCACACTGCTACTCACAGAGCCACACTGCTACACACAGAGCCACACTGCTACTCACAGAGCCACACTGCTACTCACAGAGCCACACTGCTACTCACAGAGCCACACTACTACACACAGAGCCACACTGCTACTCACAGAGCCACAGCTACACACAGAGCTACACTGCTACTCACAGAGCCACACTGCTACACACAGAGCCACAGCTACTCACAGAGCCACACCGCTACACACAGAGCCACACCGCTACTCACAGAGCCACACAGCTACTCACAGAGCCACACAGCTACACACAGCCACACACAGCCACACAGCTACACACAGCCACACCACCCACAGCTACACACAGCTACACACAGCTACACACAGCTACACACAGCCACACACAGCTACACACAGCTACACACAGCTACACAGCTACACACAGCTACACACAGCTACAGCTACACACAGAGCTACACAGCCCACACAGAGCCACACTGCTACTCACAGAGCCACACTGCTACTCACAGAGCCACTCAGCTACACACAGAGCTACACAGCTACTCACAGAGCCACACTGCTACTCACAGAGCTACACAGCTACACACGAGCCACACTACACACAGAGCCACAAGCTACACACAGAGCCACACAGCTACTCACAGAGCCACACTGCTACTCACAGAGCCACACTGCTACTCACAGAGCCACACTACTACTCACAGAGCCACACTGTTACACACAGAGCCACACTGCTACTCACAGAGCCACACTGCTACTCACAGAGCCATACTGCTACTCACAGAGCCACACTGCTACTCACAGAGCCACACCAGCTCACAGAGCCACACACACAGAGCCACACCGCTACTCACAGAGCCACACTGCTTAACACAGAGCCACACTGCTACACACAGAGCCACACTGCTACTCACAGAGCCACCAGCTACACACAGAGCCACAGCTACACACAGAGCCACACTGCTACTCACAGAGCCACACAGCTACTCACAGAGCCACACAGCTACACACAGAGCCACACAGCTACACACAGAGCCACACAGCTACACACAGAGCCACTCTGCTACTCACAGAGCCACACAGCTACACACAGAGCCACACAGCTACACACAGAGCCACTCTGCTACTCCAGAGCCACACAGCTACACACAGAGCCACATACTACACACAGAGCCACACTGCTACTCACAGAGCCACACTGCTACACACAGAGCACACTGCTACACACAGAGCCACACTGCTACACACAGAGCCACACAGCTACACACAGAGCCACACTGCTACTCACACAGCCACACTGCTACACACAGAGCCACACGCTACACACAGAGCCACACTACTACACACAGAGCCACACTGCTACTCACAGAGCCACACTGCTACACACAGAGCCACACTGCTACACACAGAGCCACACAGCTACACACAGAGCCACACTACACACAGAGCCACACTGCTACTCACAGAGCCACACTGCTACACACAGAGCCACACTGCTACACACAGAGCCACACTGCTACACACAGAGCCACACTGCTACACACAGAGCCACACTGCTACACACAGAGCCACACTGCTACACACAGAGCCACACTGCTACACACAGAGCACACTGCTACACACAGAGCCACACTGCTACACACAGAGCCACACTGCTACACACAGAGCCACACTGCTACACACAGAGCCACACAGCTACTCACAGAGCCACAAGCTACTCACAGAGCCACACAGCTACACACAGAGCCACACGAGCAGCCACACACAGAGCCACACTGCTACTCACAGAGCCACACAGCTACACACAGAGCCACACGAGCAGCCACACACAGAGCCACACCGCTACTCACAGAGCCACACCGCTACTCACAGAGCCACACTGCTACTCACAGAGCCACACTGCTACACACAGAGCCACACTGCTACTCACAGAGCCACACTGCTACTCACAGAGCCACACTGCTACACACAGAGCCACTCTGCTACACACAGAGCCACACTGCTACTCACAGAGCCACACTGACACGCTACTCACAGAGCCACACTGCTACTCACAGAGCCACACTGCTACTCACGAGCCACACTGCTACACAGAGCCACACTGCTACTCACAGAGCCACACTGCTACTCACAGAGCCACACTGCTACTCACAGAGCCACACTACTACACACAGAGCCACACTGCTACTCACAGACCACGCTACACACAGAGCTACACTGCTACTCACAGAGCCACACTGCTACACACAGAGCCACACAGCTACTCACAGAGCCACACCGCTACACACAGAGCCACACCGCTACTCACAGAGCCACACAGCTACTCACAGAGCCACAGCTACACACAGCCACACACAGCCACACAGCTACACACAGCCACACACAGCCACACACAGCTACACACAGCTACACACAGCTACACACAGCTACACAGCCACACACAGCTACACACAGCTACACACAGCTACACAGCTACACACAGCTACACACAGCTACAGCTACACACAGAGCTACACAGCCACACACAGAGCCCACTGCTACTCACAGAGCCACACTGCTACTCACAGAGCCACTCAGCTACACACAGATACACAGCTACTCACAGAGCCACACTGCTACTCACAGAGCTACACAGCTACACACAGAGCCACAGCTACACACAGAGCCACACAGCTACACACAGAGCCACACAGCTACTCACAGAGCCACACTGCTACTCACAGAGCCACACTGCTACTCACAGAGCCACACTACTACTCACAGAGCCACACTGTTACACACAGAGCCACACTGCTACTCACAGAGCCACACTGCTACTCACAGAGCCATACTGCTACTCACAGAGCCACACTGCTACTCACAGAGCCACCAGCTACTCACAGAGCCACACAGCTACACACAGAGCCACACCGCTACTCACAGAGCCACACTGCTTAACACGAGCCACACTGCTACACACAGAGCCACACTGCTACTCACAGAGCCACACAGCTACACACAGAGCCACACAGCTACACACAGAGCCACACTGCTACTCACAGAGCCACACAGCTACTCACAGAGCCACACAGCTACACACAGAGCCACACAGCTACACACAGAGCCACACAGCTACACACAGAGCCACTCTGCTACTCACAGAGCCACACAGCTACACACAGAGCCACACAGCTACACACAGAGCCACTCTGCTACTCACAGAGCCACACAGCTACACACAGAGCCACACTACTACACACAGAGCCACACTGCTACTCACAGAGCCACACTGCTACACACAGAGCCACACTGCTACACACAGAGCCACACTGCTACACACAGAGCCACACAGCTACACACAGAGCCACACTGCTACTCACACAGCCACACTGCTACACACAGAGCCACACAGCTACACACAGAGCCACACTACTACCACAGAGCCACACTGCTACTCACAGAGCCACACTGCTACACACAGAGCCACACTGCTACACACAGAGCCACACTGCTACACACAGAGCCACACTGCTACACACAGAGCCACACTGCTACACACAGAGCCACACTGCTACACACAGAGCCACACTGCTACACACAGAGCCACACTGCTACACACAGAGCCACACTGCTACACACAGAGCCACACTGCTACACACAGAGCCACACAGCTACTCACAGAGCCACACAGCTACTCACAGAGCCACACAGCTACACACAGAGCCACACGAGCAGCCACACACAGAGCCACACTGCTACTCACAGAGCCACACAGCTACACACAGAGCCACACGAGCAGCCACACACGAGCCCACCGCTACTCACAGAGCCACACCGCTACTCACAGAGCCACACTGCTACTCACAAGCCACACTGCTACACACAGAGCCACACTGCTACTCACAGAGCCACACTGCTACTCACAGAGCCACACTGCTACACACAGAGCCACTCTGCTACACACAGAGCCACACTGCTACTCACAGAGCCACACTGACACCGCTACTCACAGAGCCACACTGCTACTCACAGAGCCACACTGCTACTCACAGAGCCACACTGCTACACACAGAGCCACACTGCTACTCACAGAGCCACACTGCTACTCACAGAGCCACACTGCTACACACAGAGCCACACTGCTACTCACAGAGCCACACTGCTACTCACAGAGCCACACTGCTACTCACAGAGCCACACTGCTACTCACAGAGCCACACTGCTACTCACAGAGCCACACTGCTACTCACAGAGCCACACTGCTACACACAGAGCCACACGAGCAGCCACACACAGAGCCACACAGCTACTCACAGATCCACACTACTACACAGAGCCACACTGCTACTCACAGAGCCACACAGCTACACACAGAGCTACACTGCTACTCACAGAGCCACACTGCTACACACAGAGCCACACAGCTACTCACAGAGCCACACCGCTACACACAGAGCCACACCGCTACTCACAGAGCCACACAGCTACTCACAGAGCCACACAGCTACACACAGCCACACACAGCCACACAGCTACACACAGCCACACACAGCCACACACAGCTACACACAGCTACACACAGCCACACACAGCTACACACAGCTACACACAGCTACACAGCTACACACAGCTACACACAGCTACAGCTACACACAGAGCTACACAGCCACACACAGAGCCACACTGCTACTCACAGAGCCACACTGCTACTCACAGAGCCACTCAGCTACACACAGAGCTACACAGCTACTCACAGAGCCACCTGCTACTCACAGAGCTACACAGCTACACACAGAGCCACACAGCTACACACAGAGCCACACAGCTACACACAGAGCCACACAGCTACTCACAGAGCCACACTGCTACTCAGAGCCACACTACTACTCACAGAGCCACACTGTTACACACAGAGCCACACTGCTTCTCACAGAGCCACACTGCTACACACAGAGCCACACTGCTACACACAGAGCCACACTGCTACTCACAGAGCCACACAGCTACTCACAGAGCCACACAGCTACACACAGAGCCACACAGCTACACACAGAGCCACACTACTACACACAGAGCCACATTGCTACACACAGAGCCACACTGCTACTCACAGAGCCACACAGCTACACACAGAGCCACACTGCTACACACAGAGCCACACTGCTACACACAGAGCCACACTGCTACACACAGAGCCACACTGCTACACACAGAGCCACACTGCTACACACAGAGCCACACTGCTACACACAGAGCCACACTGCTACACACAGAGCCACACAGCTACTCACAGAGCCACACAGCTACTCACAGAGCCACACAGCTACACACAGAGCCACACGAGCAGCCACACACAGAGCCACACTGCTACTCACAGAGCCACACAGCTACACACAGAGCCACACGAGCAGCCACACACAGAGCCACACCGCTACTCACAGAGCCACACCGCTACTCACAGAGCCACACAGCTACTCACAGAGCCACACTGCTACACACAGAGCCACACTGCTACTCACAGAGCCACACGAGCAGCCACACACAGAGCCACACTGCTACACACAGAGCCACACTACTACTCATAGAGCCACACGAGCAGCCACACACAGAGCCACACTGACACTCACAGAGCCACACTGACACCGCTACTCACAGAGCCACACAGCTACACACAGAGCCACACAGCTACACACAGAGCCACACTGCTACTCACAGAGCCACACAGCTACACACAGAGCCACACTGACACTCACAGAGCCACACTGACACGGATACTCACAGAGCCACGCCCGCCAACGCAGCAGCACGCTAACCGCACGGTCACCACACGCGCTACCTCGCACCCACGCACCACCACGCACTACCACGCGCTACCTCGCACTACCACGCACTACCACGCACCAACCACAACCCCACTCGCGCGCATCACCCCAACCCCCCTCTCCACCACCACAAGTGGCGCCGCTCTGCTCGACGGCGCCCCACACGGCCGATGAGCCTGCAGTGAGCGTCTGTGCCGGGCCTCTGCGCTGACCGCGTGTGTCATCGTGCTGCTGCTGCTGCTTCTACTGCTGCTGCTGCTACTGCTGCTGCTACTGCTGCTGTTGCTACTGCTACTGCTGCTACTGCTGCTGCTGCTACTGCTGCTGCTACTGCTGCTACTGCTGCTGCTGCTACTGCTGCTGCTACTGCTACTGCTGCTGCTACTGCTGCTGCTACTGCTGCTGCTGCTACTGCTGCTGCTGCTGCTGCTACTGCTGCTGCTACTGCTGCTGCTACTGCTGCTACTGCTACTACTGCTGCTACTGCTGCTGCTACTGCTGCTGCTACAGGGCATGCAGGAAGGCGAGGGGCTGGCTGCAGACGCTCCCGCTGAGAGCCAGCAGCAGCGGCAGCAGCAGCGGCAGGCGGCTTCCGCGCCCAGCGCCCCGGCCGCCTCGGGCACCACCAGCAGCAGCAGCACGGCGAGTACCGGTGGCACCGCGTCGCAGGGCTCCAGATCCGGTGAGGGGGTGTGTGGGGGTGTGTGTGTGTGTCTGTGTGAGTTCCATTCCCGCTCACTGCTAACTCCAGTGACGATTATCTGAACCGGTCCTGGGCCTCCCCTAGGTCCACTCAGCTTCAAACGAGTGCGCGGTGCGACGTGTAGTAAACATCGCCACTGGGGAGACAAAGCCGGCCGGCGTGGTGCTGGCCACCCGCCCCCTCGTGTGCCACGTGCCACTTGCCCCAACAATCTGCTGAAGGCTGCCCGGGGTGGACCTGCGTGTTTGTTGCAGGCAACCCGCTGGAGTACCTGCGGAACCAGGCACAGTTCCGCTACATGCGGCGCGCCGTGCAGCAGAACCCCGGCCTGCTGCCCGCCCTGCTGCAGGAGCTGGGCGTCCAGAACCCTCAGCTGCTTGCGGTGAGCGTCGCACACGCGTCGCACACGCGTCGCACACGCGTCGCACACGCGTCGCACACGCATCGCACACGCATCGCACACGCGCGTCGCTCACACGCGTCGCACACGCGTCGCACACGCGTCGCACACGCGTCGCACACGCATCGCACACGCGCGTCGCTCACACGCGTCGCACACGCATCGCACACGCATCGCACACGCATCGCACACGCGCGTCGCTCACACGCGTCGCACACGCGTCGCACACGCGTCGCACACGCGTCGCACACGCATCGCACACGCGCGTCGCTCACACGCGTCGCACACACATGTCGCACACACGTCGCACATGCGTCGCTCCCACGCGTCGCCCACGCAACAACACGATTAGCAAATCGCAAAGGCAGCGATTTTTTTTTTCCGATTTGAAAAGTCCCCTTTCTTCTTGGATTTTTTTTTGTTATCATAACTTTTTTTGATTCAACTTAACAATTGTTCTATGTTTGATTGTTCTATTTCAATTAAAAATTTAAATTATCATCCTTGCATTAGAATATATAGTGCAGTTCATATGTTGATGGTATCACGTGGTAATGCTCCATCACGTGTTTTAAATCTATTACACAGTGAATATTCAACTGCAGCTTGACTTCAAAACATTTATTCGCGAATCAAATCGCAATATCTGTCAGAAAATAATCGCAATTGCATCTCTTCCCCAAGTCGTTGAGCCCTGCTCTGCACGTTTTGCACGTTTTGCTTGCGGCCTAGCAGGAGATCAGCCAGTACCAGGAGGAGTTCATCCACATGCTCAACGAGCCGGGCGAGGAGGGCGCCGAGGAGCCCGGCGCCGACGAGCCGGGCGCAGACCGGCCGCAGGTCATCCAGGTCACGCCCGACGAGATGGACGCCATCGAGAGGGTAATGCCGCCGTGTGGGAGCGCGCGAGCGTGCGCTGCTTCTGCTGCTGCTGCTGTGTTTGTGCATGTGTGCTGCTGCTGGTGCTGTGTTTGTGTGTGCTGCTGCTGCTGCTGTGCTTGTGCATGTGTGCTGCTGGTGCTGTGTTTGTGTGTGTGCTGCTGCTGCTGCTGTGTTTGTGCTGCTGCTGCTGCTGCTGTGCTTGTGCATGTGTGCTGCTGCTGGTGCTGTGTTTGTGTGTGTGTGCTGCTGCTGCTGCTGTTTTGTGCATGTGTGCTGCTGCTGCTGCTGTGCTTGTGCATGTGTGCTGCTGCTGGTGCTGTGTTTGTGTGTGTGCTGCTGCTGCTGCTGTGTTTGTGTGTGTGCTGCTGCTGCTACTGCTGCTGTGCTTGTGCATGTGTGCTGCTGCTGGTGCGCGGGCCCGGGTAAAACTACGTGGCCGGGAGTCGGAGCCGTTCCCTGTACACCTTGGGGTGCGACAGGGATGTCCCTGGCTCCCACATTATTTAACATCTATTTTGACCGCGTTGTTCGTGAAGCCTTCAATGGCTGTACCGGGGGAATTTCCATTTGGTACAGATATAATGGGAGGCTGATCGATGCCCGGGTGCGGTCAAGGGATGGCTCCCTATTGGTAAACCACGTTATGTATGCCGATGATTTGGTAATTGCTGCTCATTCAGAAGAGGAGTTGGAGGCGCTGCTGATGAACCTGGAGCGTGCCACTAAGAGGTGGGTGGGGCCTTACCATCAGCCCCACCAAAACTAAGCACCTGCCTGGGTATTTTGTACCATCGGACACTCCACCCCCACAACTCCCAATCGGTGATGGGGCAGTAGTGGAGAGAGTGGAGAGTTTTCCATACTTGGGCAGTGTGCTTATGACCGGCTCCAGTTTAACAGCAGAGGTCTCACTCCGAATCAGTCGAGCGGCATTGTCTTTTCATCGGTTGCGTAACGCTGTGTAGAAGCTACCTGGATTGTCGCTCCGCACGAAGCTTCAGGTCTTCTCGGCCACAGTCATTCCTTCCCTTCTCTACGCTTGCGAAACGTGGACCCCCCTAATAGAGCATCTTCGCCGGTTGGAAACATTTAGGCTGGCCTGCCTACGATCCATCCTGGGTTTAACCAGGCTGGATTGTGTGAGGAGCTCACAAATCCTTGAAAGATCTGGGCAAAGTCCCATCGGTGAGCTCCTCCGGCAGGCAAGGCTGCGTTGGCTGGGTCATGTAGCCCGCATGCCCAGCCACCGCATGCCTAAACAGCTTTTGTTCGGCCGGATAGAGGGGCTAAACGGGCCCGGCACGGGCTAGAGAAGAGATGGAGTTATGTGGTACGGGAGGACGTGGAGCTGAGTGGACTTGCCGATGACTATACCAGCGGTGTCAAGATCGGCCTCTGTGGAGGAGGCTCGTGAAGGACACTACTGGGCAGTTGGAGGCAGTCGCCCTCCAACAACAACGGAGGGCGGAGGAGCGACGCTCACAACCACGAGCGGAGTGCCCGGTGGCTAAAGCACAGCAAGTTGGTACAGTAGGGGGCACAGGTGGTGCATCAGCCAGTCATCTCGGTCATCTCAGTCAGTCGACCCGTGGCACCTGCTGGGTCTGCCCCGTGACCTCCTGCCAGCGGGCATTCGACACTTCATGTGGCCTCAAGGTGCACTTGGCCTGGCACAAGCGTCGTGGTGACGTCACCGCCACTTAGTGGCGAATGGCGGTTGTTGTGCTGCTGTGTGTGTAGCAGTGTGTGTGTGCTGCTGCGTGTGTGCTGCTGCTAACAGTGTGTGTGTGTGTGCTGTGTGTGTGTGCTACTGTGTCTGTGTGCTGCTGCTGACACTGTGTGTGTGTGTGCTGCTAACACTGTGTGTGCGCTGTGTGTGTGTGCTGTGTGTGTGCTACTGTGTGTGTTGCTGCTGCTAACACTGTGTGTGTGCGCTGTGTGTGTGTGTGTGCTGTGTGTGTGTGCTGCTGCTGACACTGTGTGTGTGCTGCTAACACTGTGTGTGTGCGCTGTGTGTGTGTGTGCTGTGTGTGTTGCTACTGTGTGTGTGTGCTGCTGCTGACACTGTGTGTGTGCTGCTAACACTGTGTGTGTGCGCTGTGTGTGTGTGTTGCTGTGTGTGTGTGTGTAGCAGTGTGTGGTGTGCTGCTGCTAACACTGTGCTGTGTGTGTGTGTGTGCTGACACTGTGTGTGTGCTGCTGTGTGTGTGAGCAGCTCATGGGCCTGGGCTTTGAGCGGCGCCTGGCGATGGAGGCCTACTTTGCCTGCGACAAGAACGAGAACCTGGCGGCAAACTTCCTCCTACAGCACATCGTGGACGACGACTGAGTCCACCATCGCCCCTCCCTCCCCCATCGCCCCCCCCCTCTCTGCCTCCCTCCCCTCCCCATCGCCCTCATCGCCCCCATCGCCCCCCCCCCCCTCTCATGCTCCCTCCCCGACGCCGCCCCGCAGAGCACACACGCCCACGGCCCTTCTCTCTCCCCTTCACGGCCACCGCCACCATCGTCGTCACCACCACCACCGCCATCACCGCCACCACCACCACCACCGCTAGCACCACCATCATCGTAATCACCACCACCGCCATCACCGCTAGCACCACCATCACTGCCACCGTCACCACCACCACCACCACTAGCACCACCATCGTCGTCGTCACCACCATCACTGCCACCGTCACCACCACCACCACCGCTAGCACCACCATCATCGTCACCGCCGCTGCCACCACGATCACCGCCACCACCAGTGCCATCATCGCCGTCGGCGCCACCGGGCACGGCTGCGTTGCACCGTCACCACGAGCAAGTGCTGCTGAAGCGTCGGGCCGGAAGAGGGCGTGGCCAAGTGGGGGAGGGGGGGGGGTCACTCGCGCGGGGGGGGGGGGTCACTCACGCAAGGGGTCACTCCCGCAAGGGGTCACTCCCGCAAGGGTCACTCCCTCTCGGCGTTTTCCCGTGGAGCACGTCAACGGGACGACGCGCGTTGACAGGGTGGCGCGCGTTGATGGTGGCGTGTGCTGCCAATCGCCGTGACTGGGGGACGCTGCTCGTTCGGTTAGAACCCACCCAGCCCCCCCCCCCTGGTAGCTAATGAACTAATCTGCTTGCGTGGTGACCTCTGACCCTGCCCCCTCCGCGGCGCTGGGGAGGCCCTCTTCCGGCCGCACGTCTAGGTCCAGGACGCCGGGCCGAGTGGCTTCGCCCAAATCCTAAATGGGATTTTCGTATTTCCCCCCCCCTCCTCTCTGGTTCATAAACATTCTGCATCGCGTCACAACGGCCCCCTGTCCCAGGCCAGCCCCACGCAGGGAGACGGCGACGATCGCGTGGCGCTCGAATTTGATGAAACAAAAACATTTCAAGAGCCGCGACGCTCGTGGTGACTAGGCCGCTCAACTCGCCGGCCAGCCGGGACCCCAAGAACCGCCTCCAAGTCCCTGAGCACCGCGTGCAGCGCATACCCCCACACCGCCCCCCCCCTTCTCCCGTCACCTAAAGCCCCCCCCCCCCCCCCCCCGGCGTGACGGCCCCGACCACTTAACCCCCACCCCCTCCCCGCCCCGTAAGCTTATTATGCAAAGGTGGAGAGGCAAGCGGAGAGCGTCGTTGGCGTGGGGTTTGTTCCGCTACGTTTCCTTGTTAAAGCGTCGGCGTCGTCGTCACCGTCGGCGTCGTCGTCACCGTCGTCACCGTTGTCACCGTCACCGCCGTCACCGCCGCCGCGTTGCGTGACCGGGCCGAGCGCCGATTTTGCCGCGGCCGGCGATACGGCAAAGTTCCCCGCGGCGCTGCGTTGTGCCACCTGGACCGGCGGGCGGGCGGAGCGGAGGTGGTGCTCGGGCCGGGGCTGGGTGGGGCCGAGCTGGGTGGGGCCGGGCTGGGTGGGGCCGGGCTGGGTGGGGCCGGGCTGGGTGGGGCCGGGCTGGGTGGGCCGGGCTGGGTGGGGCTCGCGAGTTGGGGTTGTTTGTGGGTTTTGGTGTCAATGGTGGGGGGGGCGGTGGGTAGTGACTGGGTGGCGTTGGCGTTAGGGCTGTAGCAGTGGACGTCATGGGTGTGGGTTGGTCTCGGTGACTTGCGACTTGGTGTTAGTGGCAGAGTGGCTCTGCTTGCTACTTGACTGGGGTTCGGCTGAGTGCTCGTGGTTGGTTGGGTAGTTTCCCAGGGTTATGGGTAGCGCTAGTGACTTGGGGTAGTTGGGGTTATGGGTAGCGCTAGTGACTTGGGGTAGTTGGGGTTATGGGTAGCGCTAGTGACTTGGGGTAGTTGGGTTATGGGTAGCGCTAGTGACTTGGGGTAGTTGGGGTTATGGGTTGCGCTGGTGACTTGGGATAGTTGGGGTTATGGGTAGTGCTGGTGACTTGGGGTAGTTGGGGTTATGGGTTGCGCTAGTGACTTGGGATAGTTGGGGTTATGGGTAGTGCTGGTGACTTGGGGTAGTTGGGGTTATGGGTAGCGCTAGTGACTTGGGATAGTTGGGGTTATGGGTAGTGCTGGTGACTTGGGGTAGTTGGGGTTATGGGTAGCGCTGGTGACTTGGGGTAGTTGGGGTTATGGGTAGCGCTAGTGACTTGGGGTAGTTGGGGTTATGGGTAGCGCTGGTGACTTGGGGTAGTTGGGTTATGGGTAGCGCTGGTGACTTGGGGTAGTTGGGGTTTGGGTAGCGCTGGTGACTTGGGGTAGTTGGGTTATAGGTAGCGCTAGTGACTTGGGGTAGTAGGGTTATGAGTAGCGCTAGTGACTTGGGGTAGTTGGGGTTATGGGTAGCGCTAGTGACTTGGGGTAGTAGGGTTATGGGTAGCGCTGGTGACTTGGGGTAGTTGGGGTTATGGGTAGCGCTAGTGACTTGGGGTAGTTGGGGTTATGGGTAGCGCTAGTGACTTGGGGTAGTTGGGTTATGGGTAGCGCTAGTGACTTGGGGTAGTTGGGGTTATGGGTAGCGCTAGTGACTTGGGGTAGTAGGGTTATGGGTAGCGCTGGTGACTTGGGGTAGTTGGGGTTATGGGTAGCGCTAGTGACTTGGGGTAGTTGGGGTTATGGGTAGCGCTAGTGACTTGGGGTAGTTGGGTTATGGGTTGCGCTGGTACCAGTGGCTGCGGTGATCAGGGCTAGAATCTAGTTGGCTGTTCCGCTCACGAAGTTCTCTCTCCACCACCCCCACGGTAACGCACGGAAACCTCTCGCTCACCCACCCACCTGCCCGCTCGCCCGCCCTCTCGTCCGCTCGCTCGCTTACCCGCTCGCCCGCCCACCCGCTCGTCCACCCGCTCGTCCACCCGCTCGCCCGCTCGCTCGCCCTCCGATGACCTTTTCTGGTGTCCCAGGATCCCAGCGGTCCCAGGCCGTGGTCACGCAGCAGTCGCAGCGTAAATACAACAACTACAACAACAACAACTACAACAACAACTACTACTACTACACTCGCGCGTGACGATAAATAATAAAAGAGAGAGTTGTTATTTACAGCGAGCCTCGCCGGCTGGTTTGTGTCTCTGCCTTCTGTTGTGAGTGGCGCTGGTGGTGGGGGGGGGGGTGGATTGGGGGGGGGGGTGAGGACCGTGGGGGGTGGGGGGGTGAGGACTGGTGGGGGGGGTGACGGTGTGGGGCCTCACGGCCGCCCAGGGTCCAGCAAGGGGGTTGGGGGGGCAGCACCTAATGTCCCGCGTGGCCAGAGATGTTAACTACCTCGCCTGGTCTACAGGAGGTCGTGGGTTCAATCCCGACCCTGACTATGCCTGCTGCTGCTGCTGTAGATTTGGAGTTTGCGTGTCTCTCTCTCATCATCATCACCACGGTGGCTAGGAGATGTTAACTACCTCGCCTGGTATACAGGAGGTCGTGGATTCCATTCCGATCCGGACCCTGACGATGCCTGCTGCTGCTGTAGATTTGGAGTCTCTCATCATCATCACGGTGACTAGGAGATGTTGACTACCTCGCCTGGTCTACAGGAGATCGTGGGTTCCATCCCGACCCTGACGACGCTTGCTGCTGCTGCTCTACATTTCCACGTGAGAACGTCCAAGCCACTGGAAGAAAGAAACCAGCGCTACGTATCTCAGTGGATGCTTTCCCGTCAAATCAACGAGAGTTTCAAGGGCCCACTTGCTCGGGGCCTCCCACAAACAGCGGCATCACAACAGCCCGGCTTCATTTGTCGATATCACTGGTCAACAACAAAACAACATTTTTTTCTGGCCTGGACTTTTGCAGCTGTTCTAGACTAATTTCAGGGTGCTGATTCCAAATCTGATCTCAGATTTGCTCTATCACATCTCAACTTTATGCTATCGGCATACCCCATTTTCATTGATTTTACACTTGTGATTGCAAGTTGTTGCGAGTCAGTGACTGCTTTAGTGTTAAATATGGTGCTGTATTTTTAGGATAATGTGTTTAAATATCATTTTATGTAGATATCCACATTTATTTAATATTTTTCTTCTGCAGTTTGTATTGAAAATGCAATATTTGATATCTCAAAAACCTGATGTGATAGACAAAAACTGATGCCAGATTTGGAATCGGCACCCCAAAATTGCCTTAAACCCGTTGTAATACCTCATGCCAGAAAAAGTGTGTTGACCAGTGTAATGAAGATGGATCGGGGCTGGTGGTGGTGGTTGTGCCACGTGGCATTGCGCCCCGGGGCCTTCTGGGAACCTCAGGGCCGGCCCCGTTCGGCCGTCACGTGGCCCTGGAGTCGGAGCCACTTTGCGCGTTCAGGCGTCAGCAGCAGCAGCAGCGGATTGATTTGTGCCGACATCGGCACCGACTGTGCTCTGTTGAACTTCCACGCCTGGGTTTCATCTCCACCAGCACTGGTTCTTAACCTGTAGGGGGCGGGCTGGAGGGGAGGGGGCGAGACATTGGGCAGGTAATATTTTTGAAGGTAAATAATCGACGGCACAAATCAAGCAACGCGGGCACGTCAAGGCACAAACTTGCTTCGTTTCATCAGCGCCGATCTATTTAGGAGCAAAACTGTTTATTTTTATTTTTTTACGATGAGAACCAAAATGGTGCAGACTGCAGTCAAAGATTAAGAACCGCTGGTCCACATGTCCTGTGACCCCCCATTTAATTATGTAAAACTGAGTTTCTGCGTGTTTTAAAAAAGGAAAGTTTATTTAAAAACAGAAATGAATATGCAAAGGAAAAATGTTCGGGGGGGGGGGGGTGGGGTCACAAGACACCCAGACCTACACTGCACAGTG